TTTTCTCATTAATTTAAAATTTAAAAATAATTTTTTAACAAGCACCCGTGTAATACACGGGTGTTGTACTAGTTATATGAATAATATTAAAGATAGTGGGGTTAAGTTAAAATTGAGTTAAATTTTGAGTTGAAATAAAAATGATTAAATTAATCCATAAACAAACAAACCCTAAGTGATGTGTGCATTGTGAAATAGAGATTCATTTGAAGAAAGTTAGGCCCACTAAGGGCTTGATTGTTTATGAAATAATTTGTTCAAACTGAATTATTTTGGTTAACCATAGTTAATTTTGAAAAAAGTGGTATGGTTAGTTGTAGTGGAATTTTAAGAATGTATTAAATAATATTTAAAATAAAATAATTAAAGTTGATTTGATGTAAAAGTAAGAGATAAATGATTGAAAATGATTGGAAATGATAGGTAGTTAAAATTATGTGAGTGGATGAATAGTGAATTAAAGTTGATGTGATGTGTAAGAATGATTGGTTTGTATTATTTAATTAGATGAATAAATTAAAGATAGTGGGGTTGTGTTAAAGTTGAGTTAAATTTTGAGTTGAAATAAAAGTGAGTAAATTAATTGGTAAACAAACAACCCTAAGTGACCAAGGCAGAATCCCGTAACTCGGCCCATGCTATTATAATCCTGAAGTGACCAGAATTGATAGAGAAATTTACTCCCGAATTGTCCGAAACCTTTGCCCAGAAAAATTAGGATACAAATATCTTCACCCAATATATTTCGTGCCGGGGACGAAAAATTGGTACGCAATCTGAGATGGAAAAGGAAGTCGGAAAGTTGCACAGTGGTTCCCACTTGTGGGTGCTGAGGGACTACTCCCGTCACAAAGCACGGCTGGACGCCGGCCAGGCCGTCAAAAGCGGTGAATTCACGGCGGGAGGCCACCGCTGGGAGATCGTTTTCTACCCCAACGGCTCCTACCCAGAAACCTGGTGGCAAGGCTACGCGTCCTTATTCTTGTCCCTGAAGAGCTGCGGCCGCGTCCAGTTTTTGCACGGAACTTACTTGTTGGATGTCGACGGCGGCCATCATCGGGGTATCAGCTTGTTCGAGCCCGGCGCGGGGATCGGGTGCCTCAGGCCCGGCGAGTTGGCTGGTCGAACCCAATTCATCAAACGGTCCGTCCTCGAATCCCCTGACAATGGTTACCTGAAGGAGGATTGTCTGACGATACGATGCACGATTGGGGTCCTCGATTGCCCCTTTCCAATAGATCACCCCTTTGTCAGGATCCCAATCCCCAACAAGGGTATGATTTTTTCAATTTTATTTTTAATTTCAAGTTAGGGTTTTGCAGTATCAACCCCAGTTGTAAATTAGGATTTAACTAAATAATTAATTGCGTGACCATTTTTTTTGTTTTTTTTGTTTTTTTATTTTTTCAGGCCGAGAACTATGCAAAGACCTCAAAGATATATGCTCACATTTTTATGAGGAGGTGATCCGTTGTAAGAAATCTGCTTGTGCCAACCTAAGAAGGGTAACGAATCGTTTTTTGCTGCTTTAATTTGAGAGAGCAGAGTTTTAAATCCCTCAAGCCTCCTCTAATCCTTGATTTGTGCATTGTTTTGCAGGAACTTTTGGCCAGCTCAATTTCATTCTCATCTGCTTCTAAGGGGAAGCTATTGGAAAGGGTTATTTGGCGTTTGGGTGCAACTAAGTTGAAGCACAAGACGAAGGACGATTAGTGTAACTTAAGCTCGGTTGGTTCAGTATGATGACTGGTTCTTCAACTAAGTATAGGATGTCGCAAGATAAACCCTTTTTGTTCATTTAGATGCTGAAATAAACCAACCGTGCAATGAAAATATATGTCTTTTTGGCTATTCAGCTGATCTGCTCTTTCTAGTGCTGCTATGCCCCCTCCTATTGTTTCACTAATTTTCCGCATTTTTATGTGTTGGAGTTATTTTTCCTCAACTATGATTTTGTTTCACTTTTATAAACAAGAAAATAATACCAATGTATGCTAGTTCCATACATATTTATGGAGGAATCTCACATATGTGCGATTGGGCACAAATGTGCTGAATACGGACCAACTTTTTTGTTTACACCAAACTGTAAAACCAAAACAAACATACATGTAATTGATTAATATTATTTACTGACCTTGTCGAACTGAAGAAGAAAAGCGTTGATGAATGTTTTCGATCAGCGGTTAACTGAGAATTAAAAGATATTTTTTATTGGAATTTTGATCAAAGGGCAAGTGTCCGGAAAAAATGTTGCTAGCTGTATGTGAAGTTTAACATTTATAGAACTTTTTGAAAGTGCCTCATTTTTCTGCTATTCATGATTTGGTGAATGGTGATGATTTTTTTTTTTTTTTTTTTTTT